CTTGAATAAATGCCATCGAGCTCGTATGGAAGTTGGAAGAGAGACGCTGGGGTGTGGGGGCGCCGGCTGAGAGGGGCAGGGAGCCTGTCTGCGCACTTCAGCGGGAGCGCAGTGACAGCCCCTCCAAGGACGGCCACCTGCGCGACTTCCAGGTGACACAAGTGCCTGCTGGGCCCACTCCGTTAGCTGGCCCTCGAGCTGTGGGACAGCAGGTGTCGTTCCGGAGGGACCTGGCAGGAGAACCGAGAGGAGCGTTAGGCAGAGAGAGGTCCTCCATGGTCGCTGGGCCCCCTCTGAGTTCCCGTCACACAGACACATTGCTCGCTTTCCTGGGAGAGGGAAGAGCAGCCGGCCGGCCTGTCTGCCGCCCTCACGAGACCCTTCTTGCTTTGTGCCATTGTATCTATTGTCAAGACAAAGGTTAGAAATCAACCTCACGCAGACTCCGGTGCCCAAATACCGGGGTTTGAATCACACACACGTCCAGGCACACTTACACGTGGGTGCGTATATTTGTGTGTTTGTATGGCAGGCTTGGGTGAGAGAGAGCCTTAGCCCCTCTGTAGCCAAATGGACAACCTTGGCTTCTCCATTTGGAGAGCAGAGTTTTTGTGAGAATTAGAGCATGTAAGTTATACTGCCCTGAGAAGAGAGCCTGACACACGGCAAACCCCAGCGAATGGTAGCTGGGATCCAGTGCTAAACAGTCCAAGAAGTGAAAGGTCTGCGCTGTCACAGCGCCGCGGCCCCCTAGTGGCGATCTGCAGTCAACGAGGTAGTAAGTCATCCGAGGGATGGGGAAGTGCTTCCTCCCCCTGGAGGTCCACGCTAGGTGATTTCCTGTTGAAAGACTTTGTAGCTCATGGACATTTAATTTTTTTTTAATTGGACCTCAGGTGTAAAAGGTGGCACACCAGTGGTTTGTTCAGCTGCCTTAGTCTTCTCAGGACAAAAGGTATTTCGTGTGTATCTGTGATTCCCTACAATTTACCACAGAGCGCAGGGTCTGGAATAAAACAGAACAGAGGACGGAGGCAGGCAAGCAGGCAGGAAGGAAAGGAGGAAGGAAGTGAGAAAGGAAGAAAGGAAGGGGGGAGGTAGTGAGGGGGGAAGGGAGGGGAGAAGGAAAGGAGGAAGGAAGAGGGGAGGAAAGGAGGGAATAGTAAATAACCACCTCTATTTGTATCACACGTTGAATATTCACTAGATGCAGTGACCTTTTTTATTTTTGGTTCTTACCCATCAGAGCCAGATGCAAACCAAAACAAGAGCCATATTATTTTGCAAACAAGAGGTTCTCTACTGATGGGATTCAAGTGGAACACATGCATATGAACTTGACCTTGAACCAAACCCATGTGGACGCAGTGTCAGTGTTCCCCAGGAAAGGACGTAAAGCCCGAGAGGCTCCCTCTGCCTGCACCTCTCAGCCCATCCTCAGTTCGTCCCTTCCTTGTTTCCTCCCTGCAGCCTTAGCAGGCTCAGCGGAATCCCGCCTTTGGCTGCTTCATCGTTCTTTGTGGAGTCTTGCAGTGACTTACTCTCATCCACATGGGTTTTCTGATTTACTCTGATAACAGCCACACTTGTTAAAGTGCTCACTGCACAGCCGAGGACTGGGCCTGGACTGTAGTTCAGGGCCACGGGCCACAGCCAGACATCAGCAAGTGGTCCTCTGTTTCCAGGTCTCCACTGATCACTACCTTGAGCCAGAGCTTCTGCAAAGCTCCATTCCCCCATCCCTACACCAGGACACCAGCCCACACATGGGCGAATGGGCAGCAGGCGGCACCCAATTCCATGAACCTACACACGTGCACACACACAGAGTTATTACTCGCAGTTTAGTGTTTGCACAGTAATTTAAAGTTGTTGTTAGAAAAGAAGTTCTATGGGTTATGGAAGTTCAATAAGAAGTTGGCTCTAAATGAACATCATGCCACTTGACTGGTCTGCCAACTGTAAACAGTCCATCACTAAGTCAGTGTGACCCCAGCACAGGTTTCCAAGGCATCAGATCTGGTTTGGGTCTCACCCTCAGCATCTAACGGTTCTCTAACTTTGGTTGGGCAGGTGTCTTTTCTTCCTGCAACAGTGTCTTCACATCCCTTGTAGCCGCATTTGTCCTGTTCTGTTTTCTTGCACTTGGTGCTTATCCCAACCTCATGTCAGAACTCTTGTTCTCTCTCCAAGCCAGGGAGGTACTTCTGGATACCAGGGTGTGTGGGGGGTGTGGCGGGCATCCAGGCATCCTGTGCCAGAGGAGGAAGTGAGGGTACAGAGTCGCAGAGTTGTCCCTGCTTCTGCACAGTGCTCAGGGCCCGGACCACCGACAGGGACTCAGTACAACTGCGTTAAATAGGCTTTCTAGTTATCACCACTGACAGATCGTTTCTTCAGGAAAAAGTCCCATATTCAGCACAATCAGCTTATCATGAACAATTGTGACAAAAGCCCTGCTTGTCTACGGTCTCAGTCAGTTTGCACTGCTGTAACAAAATACCAAGACTGGGCAGCTTGTAAACAACAGAAATTTATCTCTCACAGCTGTGGTGGCTAGAAGCGTGAGATCAGGGTGCCAGCATGATTGGGTGAAGGCCGTCTTCTGGGCTGCAGGCTTCTCATTGTGTCCTCACAGGGAGAAAGGAGCGAGACATCTCCCTGGGGAGCTAATCCCACCTCGAGGCTGACACCATGCCCTAATGACCTCTCAAATACCACCTCTCAATGCCATCACTTGGGGACATTAGGTTTCCTGCATATGAACTTTAGGGGGATGCAAACATCCAATCTGTATCATTAACCCTGATGAAGCTCTTTGCTTTGCTTTTCAAGTGCTCCTCTGTCCTTTAACAGTAAAATGACCAACCCTCTAGGTTTGCCTGGAACGGGGCGGGGGAGGGGGGCTTCCAAAGACACAGAATTTAGAGTTTTAAAACTAGGACATCGATGGCAAAGCAGGGCTATGAAAACAAACAGAGACACTGGGTTTTTAGGACTTTGGGGATTATAAAGATTTTAGACATGTACTACAGCCTACTTTGATTAAAAAAAAATGCTACTGGATCCTATCAAAGAGAGCCTGCACCCAGGTGCTGTAGGAAAATAATTAGAATCACCTTTTTCATAACTCTACCTTGGTTGGATAACAAGCAAAAGTTAGATTAAGCACAGCCCTTCAATAACCAATTTATTTTAAAATGTGTCTTTAATTATCTTCCCCTTTTGTTGTTACTCTCTAATACAAGGTATTCCACCTTTGTTATTGATGTGAAACCCACGGAGGAAACTCTACAAAAGGCTCTGATCAATGAATCATCACCAAGTGAAGACACCCATGGAATCACGACCCAAAGAAATAGTGTTTAATGGAAAAAAGAACATCTAACTATGGAAGAATTTTCTTTGTTTTGAGATATCAGTTCTCTGTCCCTGGAGTCTCCGTAGTCCTTGGCTGCCTTTACCTATGCCTGCTTGTAGCTGCCATAATTCCAGGTATAGCATAGAAGTCCAACTTCTGGTAGGCCTTGCAATTATAAACTGCTTTTCAGTGTTGACAAATGTTACCTAATTAGCATTGTTTGTTACCTAATTAGCATTGTTAAATGTTTTTGATTTTTTAAAAAGAGCATACATTTATGACCGTGTACATATTCCGTTCTTTTGTTTGGAAACTACTGCTGCAGTTTTATTCAGCTACCTCAGCTGGCTGTTCTTGATGATGTGGAGATGAAAGATAAACATAGGTGGAAGGTCCCACATTACCAGTCATGCATTATAAATGTTGCAGAAATGATGGTGACAGCTACACTGTACAAGTCTAAATTTTTTTTTAGATGACTCCTTTTTAAACAGCAAGGCATAGAGGCCATCTGACTGGTGCACACAGCAGGCTGAAGGGGGCCCTGCGGGTCCCATGTGAGCACAAACCAATTAAGTCGAGCACTCACTGAAATTGCTTTCTCAGCCAGGATGGAGAATGATTGATCACAAGTCGAACTCCACATGTTAGGCTGAAAGCGTTTACAGGTAAATCTGGCCCAAGGCCACGGCCACTTCATTTCGCTGGCAGAAACATGTCAAGTGGCTAGGCGAGGGGGAAGCCTCTTAATTCTCTGCACAGGGAGACCCTCAAGCGAGATATTGTGTTTGTCTACATTTAGCGGGGTATGTGGCTAAGAAGGGAAAGTGGTGTTTACATCCAGAGCTGAAGGGGGGCATGATGAGCGTTCTCAACCAGTGGAGTTCAGACATTGCCAGCTTGTTTTTTAATGTTTTCATTTTTTCATTGCCAGTTGACACTCAACATTGTATTGGTTTCAGGTGTACAGCCAAATGGTTAGACTGTATTATGCCTTAGAAGTGATCCCCCCATAAGTCCAGTGCCCATCTGGCACCATAGCACCATGATATTACCGACTATATTCTCTAAGTTGTACTCTACATCTCCGTGACTATTTTGTAACTGCCAATTTATGCTTATCACTTCACCTTTCCCATCCAATTCCCCCAGGCTCTTCCCATTAGCCAGGGAGTTTTAAAGGACAGGATCCAGAGGAACTGCTCGGCAGCTGTGCAGGTGGAGCCCAGGCACCACGCAGGCTCAATCAGGTTATTCTCCTCTGCAGCTGTGGCGGACAACGCTGGGCGACTCACACGTTCAGATGGGCTGTCCCCGCAGCCTGGGGGATTTCAGCCCGCGGGTCAGTTTACCGGAGAGCTAAGGCGACAGCGCTCACGTGAAACAGCGATGATTTAGTAACTGAACTCCTCACGCAATTCTCCTTGCAAACGTCCCAGAGCAGGCCAGCACCAAGACTGCTGTTCAGGGACTCGCACAAGACAACGACCACCACACTCCTAAACACTGCCCGCGCAGGCCGAGCCCGTGGACTGGCGGCGCACGCGCAGATCGAGGCCAAGGGCTGAGGGAGCATGCGCAGCTCACAGCCAAGCGCTGAGGCGCACGCGCAGCGAGGGGGAGGTGCTTCCGGCCGGAGGTGGGGCCTGTAGCACGCGGTGGGCGGTACTTAGACAGAGACCCCATACCCGGATTGTGATCTCCCTCCGGCCCACAGTATGGTCCGGCACGTGTTTCTGACGGGGCCCCCAGGTAACCCCGCCGGGTGTCCGCCTCTGTGAAGCGGACGGGTGGGCGTGGGGGCGCGCGCAGTAGGGGCGGCGGGCTCCCGGGCTGTTTGCTTGGTCGTTGAAGTGTTACGAAGTTGCAGGCTTGGTACTCGGAAGCCTGCGTATCCTTTCCCAGGAAGCGGGGTTTTAAGTACGTGAGATAGAGAGATTAGAGATGTAGCCCACCGTGGTGAGAAGAGCAAGCTTGTGATGTGGGGACGTGGGCTTTGTTAAAGTAGCAGACAGCCGGCCGGCACCCGCGGCCGCGGTAAGAACGACCCCGTCCTAGCCGGGGTGGTGCGCAGGGACCATGCTCAGGATACCTGTTACCGCCCTGATGGGTAGGGAGGGGCCCGGCTTCTGTTGAGAGTCACACAGCTGCCTGTGTGATGATCCACTGTCCTAATTGAAGGAGGGGGTCAGTGGAAGGGTGGTGAAACTTTAATTCCCTTTCTCTGAGTTCACTACTCCTGAATTCCCCCCAGGATGAGGCTGTAGGCCGAGAAGCTTTGGTACCTAAGGACCCGCTCTCAAACCCTGTCCTGTGTCCGTGCCTGGTCCCTCTGTTGCTGGTCGTGGGGTAGGTCCCTCCTGTGAGCTGTGGAGTTCTCACCAGTGAATGGGACAGTGTGAAGTCAAAGGAGAGACCAGAGGAGGAAATGGCTTTTAAAACTCGGTGATGCACATGTAGTGGGCGTGACTAAAAGATGAGGCAGGTAGTGGGTGGGCCTCAGGCTCAGGGAGAAAGATGAGATTAGAGTGAAGAGAAGGATTCTTCAGCCCCTGTGCAAGGCGGATCTAATGTTCAATAATCAAAGATTGTAACTCTAGAATTCTCTGTCATCTTATTTTAATGATTATGCTTAGCCTTAGATAGCAAAGGCTACTAATGTTGCAGACTTTGGAATCTTATTTTGACCAGGCAGCGGAGGAGCAGTGAGGAGGGAGGGTAGCATGAGAACTTTCTAATAGCCAGAGGTACTCCCGGATGTTGCACAGGACTGGCTTTTAGAGGTCGATTGGTCAGCCCCCTATTTGAGACCTGGAATGCAGTTTCCCAGCAGAAGGGGCACAAGCCCCCTCTGGATTTCCTCACAGGTGACCTGTTCATTGTCATTGCACCTGCCTGAGTCCCAGTGGTCCGTGGGGAACTTAGGCGGCCAGGCTGGTGCTGGTTCTTCTCTCCATTTCCTTATTTATAGAAGTTCCATATGCATGTAGTTGAAAGATTCCTGTGATTCCACTGCACAGCTCTCTGAAGCTGTCCTCAGACCCGCTCCCCCCACCTCCTCCCTGGCTGCCCGCTGCAGGCATATTGTGATCGTGATTAGTTCTGTAGTCAGTGTCCCCAGTATCATGACTGTGTAAGAGCTGATCACCCAAGAACCAGTGGAAATCCACAATTTCTTTTCCTATTGTGCACAACTATTTTCTTCCCTTTGGAGTTAGTGCCTGTTGTTTTTTCATTCACGTAGCTTCTTTTTGTCACCAACTCATTCCCAAATTCTGCGTGTTGGCTAAATCCTCTCTATGTGTTCAGACCAGCAGGTACCCTGCCTGCTCAGAGAGGGCACTCTGGCCCTTAGCACTGTTCCCAGCTTCAGCTGTCCCGCCTGTGACCCAACTTGGAGGGTTTCCTCTGGTCACTGGAGCCCATCTTGCCTGTGCACAGGGCAGGTCTGATGAGCCAGAGACTTCCTGTCCCCCAGGGGCAGCCTCAAATCCATGACAGTTGGAAGTAAGCTCCCTACTGCCTCCCTTCTCAGACAGGACAACTGAGCCAGGGTCCCCCGAACTGTGTCCTTGGATTCCCCCATGGGATTAGGCTCCAGCTACCGCCGTGGTAACTTGCTTGCTAATGCAGTTACCTCCCTACCAGTGTGTCTTGGGGACACTTCCCAAGTTAAACTACCTTCACTTGAATCTTTGTCAGGGCAGGCTTTATGGGAGAACCAGAACCAAAATAATTCTGGAGCTTTCTGCCCTGTTCTGTCTGTGTGTGGTGCAGGCTGTCATCTGGGGTCTTCAATACCGCTCACTGCGTAACCAGTAGAGACAGCACAAGGCTGGCAGCTTCGTTAATGGAGATGAAACGTCAACTGGAAGACAGTGTTACAGCTGAGGAGGAAGCAGGGCCCTGAGCCCCCTGCCTCTTGTTTTGCTATGTTGTATGTGACACAGGACGACAGCGTGCACAGTGTGGCCCTTTGACCACAGCTGCTCTGTTTTCTTTTTCAAAATGTAAATAGCTCTGTTTTTTTTCTTACATTAAGAGTACTCTCCACTCATTTTAAGAGAAAAAAGTTCGAGAAAGTTTTGGAGAAGACTGGGACCTCATGTGAAATTCCAGCATAACAATTTAAATAACAAATCACAGCGGAGTAATACTTGGTGTGTCTGCTGTTTCTAAACGTGCTTCTTCCCCGGACGTTTTTTCACGTATCGTGGTCTGTTTTCCGTGCTAGTGAATGTCGTTGTGCCTGGTGTCAGACCTTTGTGGAGGACAGTTCCTGACCCTAGAATTTCTGTGCACTGTGGTAGGCACGTTGAAACTATCCTTCAGAAAAATACCGGTTTCCCTACTCACCAGTGCCACTTGGCTGCATCAATTGGCTTCTTCACGAACTTTGCCAAAGCAGCAGTTACGACAGATGCATCCACTAAGAGTGATGGATTATGTTTCGTTTCACGGAGACTTAAAGGGGTCAACCCTCATGACTGTGGGCAGCCGTAGAAATAACGTGATTTCCAGCCCTGTGGCGTCTCAGCGTAGCTCTGTTGCAGACCTGCTAGAAGTGTCACCTGTGTTTCCATTTTGGGGCATTCATCATGCCACTTAGTTCTTAAGTCTGTCCAGGAATGAGGCACGCGTAATCAAAGTTGAGGTGACAGGAAAGCCTTGTGAAAATGTCTAGTCCCAACTGGCTGGGTGACCTCGGGTAAGCTACCTTACCTCTCTGTGCCTTAGGTTCTTTATCTGTAAAACCTGGGCAGGGACAGTGACTGCCTTAGAGGGTGGTTGTGAGCATTTAACCAAGAAAGCGCTCCTGAAGTGTGCTGGAATGTTCTGGAATGTGCCTGGCTCCATAACGCCAGTGGGCAGGCAGTGTCATTTCATTCAACAGCAGTTGCTGGTTCCTGTAAACACGCAAGGGCCCATCAGAGTCGTCCACAGACCAGTTGGGAGGAAAGGAAGGGTCAGAGGTCGGGAGGGGCAGGGGTGGGGCTTATGGGTTATCATTTGGGGAGGTGTTGGGTCAGCCAAAGGAGTGCTTAGGGCCACTGGAGGCAGTGACAGAGGTGTCACCAAGTTAATAGGGCAGCTCTCATGAAGAAGTTTGAAGATTGCTATTTTTAGTGGTGGCAGTGGTACTTAAGGGACACATTTTGAGGAGCCGTAGTGACGTAAGTGAAGGGAATTTTCCACTTTTAAATGTGGGTGCGGAGTGCCTTGAAGTTGGAAATCCTAGAATGCCCAGCCGTTGACCCCAGCATGACCAGTTTTGCTTCCTAGGTGAAAGAGCAGGTTCACCCAGGAAGGGGGTGAACCTAGGATTCACAGTGCAAATTGCACTTGATACTGTCATCGGGAGGCCACTCGCTTGGTTCTAGGATTGTGTATGTGACAAAACCGATACTGTTTCGGGATGTAAAAATAGACTGCATCTTTTTATTATGTTGGTTTCTACTTGAAATTAAGAAGTTTTAACCCAGGGCACTCAAGGTCAAAGTAAAGTTAATACTCATAAAATCCACTTGCGCCTGTTTGCACCCCACCTCGATCGCTCCCGGCCGGCGAGTGCTGGGGATGGGACCTAACAGGGTTTGTGTTTCTTTCCAGGAGTTGGAAAGACAACTCTGATCCAGAAAGCCAGTGAAGTTTTGAAATCCTCCGGCGTGCTGGTCGATGGGTTTTACACGGAAGAGGTCCGGCAGGGCGGAAGAAGAATAGGATTCGACGTTGTCACGCTATCCGGCCTGCGGGGGCCTTTGTCCAGAGTTGGGTACGGAGATTTCATTTCTGTGCCGTTCAGTGCTCTCTTCTGTCTTGGAGAATCTCAGGCCTTTGGATCTCTAAGAGAAAGAAGCAGATTGAAATCATCACGTGAAGAACAAAGTGTACAAATCTGTATTTCTTGTGAAGCTCATTCCGTTGCCTAGCAAGCCTGTTTCCTGTGCTGCTTTTGAGTCCTAGTTGGGGCGGCAGCTCCCTAGAGCTTCGGGGTGGGCCCCACCTCGGTGACCTGGGCCCCGCCAGGCCTGTCAGTGGTGGTAGGCACACTTCGTGGTCACCCTGCTCTCAGAGCGACCGTGGACTCGAGTCAGCACTCCGCTTCACCTCTTTATGCAGGTGGCTTTGAGCAAGGATTTCGCCTAAGTGGAAGGCCGGAGGGTCAGTGGAGTAGCCAACAGCCAGGAACCTGTACGGGGGTCTTTCAGTGGGAACTCACTGTCTTTTCAGGTCAGAGCCTCCGCCTGGCAGACGGGAGTGCCGAGTCGGGCAGTACGTGGTGGATCTGCCGGCCTTTGAGCGGCTGGCGCTCCCGGTCCTGAGAAACGTGAGTGGTTCCTGCCCTGAGGCCCTCCGTGGGCAGTGCACTGGGCGGAGTGACTTTTGCTCTGAAGGAGAGGCCAGCTTTGCATCTTATAGTTTAAAAGTCTTTAAGTGATTGACCCTTAATAAGTACCATATTTTGCTGTATGTAATGTGCACTTTTTGCCCAGATTTTTGAGGGAAAACAAGGGTGTGCATTAGACACGGGTAGTACTAATTCCGTATCTACATAAATGTTTTTAATGCTTTCATTTATGCTTATGAGTTAAAGGTATAACTCTAGGAACCAATAAAGATATCTGTATGCAAAATAATACCCTGGAGTATGAGAATTGGTTTTGTTCCTACGTATAAGTAAATAAATAATTGGATTAAAAAGTTAAAGATTATTTTCCCCTGGAAATTCGGCCCAAAAACATGGGTGCACATTATACACGGCAAAATACAGTACATGTGATATAATTTGCTGTCACTCTGAAGTCCAGTTAAGTTCCTTGTCACATAAATTCAGTACATACAAAGATTTTATACTGGGGAGGGGCTCTGGTGCCCAGCTACCAACATCCCCAAACATAAGCCTTTTCTCTGTTTTTCTTTATTTTGTGTATCAACCCAGTTTTCACAGCACGAGCAATAGGTATTTAGGAGGGAAAAGTGTCATTTTATGAATATGATAGTAGGCACCTAATGCATTATGTTACTGTATCACCTATTGTTTCTTTTTGAACCAGGTTATTGAGATATAATTCACACACCATACACTTCATTCACTTAAAATGTAGTGATTTGTAGAATTTGATTTTTTCTAATATATTCACAGGCCTGTGCAACGTTCACCATAATCTAATTTCACAGCATTGCTGTCATCCCAAAAGAAACGCCATGTCCATTGAGAGCTCTAGGGGTTGGCCTTTAAACTGAAATGAGCAGATGAGAAGACACCACCCCTTCAGAGAGAATAGTGGGTGGGTGTTGGAGGGAGGGTTCTGGGGAGAATACTCTGGATGACTGAGGCCCCAGGCCCTGGGTTGGGAGCAGGAGGCGGAGAGCTTGGTGGGGCGGGTGAGGCCGGGATGCAGGACCTTGTGGACCACATCAGAGAATGTGGGTTGCATTCACTCTATTACAGACTTAGGACTTTCATGTGCCTTTGTGGAAATGGATGGTAATAGGCCTGTCTGAAGGGGCTATTTTAAACCTTCCAGCAGTTTCCCTCACGTCAACAATAAAGTCCAAGCTCCTTCTCCTGGGCTGGAGGCCCTGTGCTGTTTAGCCCTGGTAACCGCCCGCCTGCTGTCCCCGCTCTGTGGCCACACTCGCTCGGGCATGTGCCCACGCCTGCCAGGGCACACCAGCCTTTGCCCTTGGTCCTGGTCATTGTCTTCGGCGCATACTCCTTACATTTTTGCTTTTTTGCTCTTTTCTGACACCAGGGGCTCAGCAGAAATGTGCAGTGAGGGGCTTTAGTAGCTTCCCAAGGGCACGGGAAATTTTAGCTGCAGCCTGCCAAGGACCTTTCTATGTTTCTACGTCAGAGGGCTGGCAGCGCTTCCTTATGGGAGGGGACTGCTGCTCCTCTGAGCCTGCCTAGGTCTTTGCCTCCTCCCTCTTGCTGGTGCTCCCTCCTCCCTCCGCCCCGCCCTCAGCCCCTCCCTCTGCATTGCCTGCTCTGGGGCTGTCCTGGATGTGCTGCCCTGGTGTTTGCTCTCTAGCTCCCTTCCCATTAGAGACAAGCCTCTGCTCAGACGTTCAAAAGGCAAGTGAAACGCTGCAAATGAAATTCCAGGTGAAGACGCCATCTTTGGTGCGGGATCAATACCCAGAATTGATATTTACTTGCTCAGAGCAGACTGAATCCTGGGAGTGCATTGTGTGCACGTGCCAAGTGTCTACAAGATTCCACGAGACACTTGCATGCTGTGCAGGACTAAGAACTGAATCTCGTTTTTAATTAAAAAAGCAGACTTCTCCATTTATTTATACTTTAATCACCAAACCTACAGGCTGCACCTTCTTACCCAGTCCAGGGCATGGATTTCTTTCTGAAGCAGAGTCTCATCCCATCGCATATATTTTATTGGGATGAAGGAAGGAAAAAGAATGAGTGTTTTGCCTTTATAGTAAAAAAAGAGATGGAAAAGTAAATAGGGGAATAGGAGACAAATTCTGAACGCTTCAGAAAGCACATGCAGGCAGGCGAATGCCCCGCCCAGATTCATGGGGTGTTGGTTCGTGGTGCCGGGATGTTGGGAGGCATAAACCCTATCAGTGAACATCTGGTGCGTGTCTCCTATGTGGACGTCAGGAGGATAGTGCTGAGGGCCAGCGGGCCTGCCTGTGGTGCAGCGGGACAGACGGGCTGGGAGCTGGGAGCAGCTGGGGCGGGACGGGAGGGGCCTGGCCGGGCCTCGGGCACAGCCCGGCTGCTCTCTCAGTGGTGCCAGTGCTTCCTTCCCTCCGGCGGGGCGGGGTCTCGTGGCCCCTTGTGGGCTCACATGGGAGATAAGGACAAGCCCGGTAAGACTGGGAACATTCTTAGATGCAGTACTAAGGATTTTAGAAAGTCTTTTGTGGGGTTGGTGGGTGTGGGTATATGTGTTTTTTCTATTTCATGGGTGACATCTTTCCTTATTTGACAGCATTTATTGTTTTCTTGAGTTCAACATACCTCAGGTAGGAAATTTGTTTAAAACAATGACATAAAAGGAAAAGATGAATAACTGAGTTTCGCCACTGTTATCATAATCGGTCTCTGCCCTTGTTCCTTACCTAGTCCATTTTCAGTCGTCCGAAGTTGGGAAAATGCTGTGTGTGGTTTTAGAGGCCGGCGTTTGCCCGTAACGGGCTTCAGCGACACAGGAGCGGTGCTAAACGGGGTAACCCGGCGTTTGCCCGTAACGGGCTTCAGTGACACAGGAGCGGTGCTAAACGGGGTAACCTTTGTGACCGTGATTGCTTAATGGTGGCCTGTGATTTCATGGCCTGGGTTTCCGTCTCTGATGTCAGCGTTCGTTCCTCGGTGTCAGACGCTGAGGTCACTTAGCGCTGTGGTAGGCGGCCTTGCCACAGACACTGTGCTCATCTGTCCCTTCCCCCAGCCGTGACTGTGCCCCGCAAAGCACCTGGAGGTGGAGGTGTGAGGTGGAGGCGAGTGCCCGGCCAGGTGTCCCTGGGCGCCCTGTGCGCTGCCCTGTGTGCCAGCCTTTGCCTTGTTGTACTTCCGGCAACACTGGGCTCTGTGTGGTTTTCCAGCCGAAACACACGGCCTTGCTCTGGTTCGCTTTGTTACTTACAAGAATGAGGTGAGATGTTTTTCATCGGGTATTTTTTAAAAATCTAAATTGTTGTTTTCCTCATTCCTTTTTCTCTGAGCTTAAAAGAGATCTTTATAAAGTGAATACTTTTTTTATATTGGTTGATCGTATTTTTCTCAGCTGTGATTTTTTTCAACATTGAGAAAGTCTGTCCATATTCCAAGTTATTATGAGATGTGTTTCTTCTGTGCATGTACTTGTTTATTTTTTTAACTTTTATGTTTCAATCCATCTGGATTATCTTGACTGTAATATACAACCATACTCTAATTGATTTTCTTCCAGCCAGTTTACCAAAACCATTTGTAAATAGCCCATTTCTCAGTAGTTTATTATGCTTCATTAATTACCTTAAAAATGTGTGTCTGTGTGTAATGTTTTAGGGTTGTCTGCTCTCATTGATCTGCTTGATTCTTGATTAAAATAGTACCATGCTATTTTAATTACCTCAGTAATTAGTTGTGTTATTCCTCAAAAACACATCTATTCTTTCTGGTTTGTTCACTTCTCCCAACTGTAGTGGTAGTGATGGTGTTAATGGTGGTGGTGAATAGTTACTGAGTACAAATTGTGTGCTAGGCACTAATTCATTTAATCCTCAGAATAACAGGTCACTGTATTCTTGTTTCACAGGTGAGGAAACTGAGGCATAGACTAGAAATTATTCTGTAAGATGGAGCTGGCATGAACTGTAGAATCAAGACTTGATTACCCATTATAAAACGTCTTAGCCGGAGTGATGGGGATGATACAAAATGATGGTTATTTAGATGTAAAGACCATCTTACCTTTTCAGACAGCCCTCATCCTCCAGAGCCAAAAACATAGTACATCTGGTTTCATTTCTCCCTCTAAATAAAGTGTCTGGTAAGGTTACTCACGGGTCCCCTCTGTTTCCCGATGCTGCTGTAATCAGGACTGGCTTCCATCTTCTGACGGTCAAGGCTATTGGATTAGCCGGCCTTTTGCACGAGGGCCTTGTGGTCAGCCCCACGGCACCGGGTGGGGGTTTGGTCTGACACCGTGGGGCGTGGCTCTGATGCCTCCCAGGGCCTCTCCTCCTCACACGGAGAGGTGACAATGGCTGCTAATGTTGTAAAGAGCAAAGCACATCTACTCACAGCCCTGCATGTTAGGCTTAACCACATCATTTTTAGTAAAGGTCTGTGGAGGAATAGTAACCTAGAACAGAACACCGGATGAAAATCAACATAGGTTGAACTTGCGTCTTCCTGTTTTGATCAAAATAAGGCTTGCATTATATATTTTGTTTTGGACAGCAGGATCTGCTTTTGATTCTGAAATAAAGCTCTGCCTCACACCTTTGAAACTTTGTCTTCAGGGGAGAGGACTCTTGTCCGAGGAAAGGGTGTTTTTCAGCCCCTTGACCCAGAAGTGCCACTCAGCTTTCCGGGCCACTGGGCGTAGGGAGGGTGGAGGAGAGCCGGGGTCGAGTCAGGGTCCATTGCCGGAAGGTCGGCAGGAGCTCTTCCGGGCTCTGTTCCCCCCTCACTTCCCGTTCCTCGGCTCCATGGTCACACACATGGGTCAGGGTCAGCCAGGGAAGTCCAGGCACGCCACACAATTAAAAATTGTCCGTGGAAGCACCCCTGCCGTGAGCGAGACTCGGAGGTGAACCCTTGCCTGTAGGTAACCCGACCTCGGGGCAGGTCTGATTCCGGGTCTCCCACTGCCAGCGGCACAGGCCCTGGGTGCCGGACGCTAAGCCGGCCTCTGCCTTGGGTGCGGTATCTTGGTGCAGTTCTTTCTCAGCCCGAGCCCAGGAAACATCGTGGGTGGCATTTGTACCGCTGCCCCGTCTCCCTCCTGCTCAGCCGCGGGGTCCCGTCCCAGCTCCTGCTCCCGGCCCCCCCACGCACGTCAGTCTGAAGTCCCACGTGCCCGCGGAGGAAGTCGTGCTGGCACGCTGCTGCTGCTGCTCTTCTTGACTGGCACGGCGAAGGTGTGCACGGGGTTTTGTGTATCGATTCCAATTTTTTTAAAACACTTTATTTGGATGTAATTTTGCTCAAGAATAAGGACTGTGTAAGATCACCTGTACAGTTGTTATCCAGTCACCTGGATTTGACCTTCGCCCTGTACACCCTGTGTGTGTGTGTAAACACGCAGATTTGCAGGGGAGCCCTTTGAGAGTACGTTGTAAAAAAAACGCTCAGTGTGCTTTTCCTTGGAATGAGGATATCCTCCTGTGTAGTTGCTGTGGCCGTAAATCTCCGTAGGGGCCGCGCTCACCACAGCCTCTGCCCTCGTGACCGACCGTCCCTGTGCCGGTTTGGTCAGCCGGCCTCACAGTGCCCGTTGTAACACTTCTGTTCCTCCTCTCCGGGGCCACCTGCTCCACTTAGTTGTCACACGTCCTTAGCACCTCCAGTCATTCTTGTACGACACTGACATTTTTGAGGATACGCCTGTATCGTACTTGGACCTTCTTCTTTGGGGGTTTTCTGGTATCTCGTATGCTTGGACTCAGCCGGTTGCTACGGGCACCGCGGCCCGTGTGTCTCGGGCGTCTCCTCCGGAGGCACGTGCTGTTTGCCGACGGCGTTCTGGTTGCCCGGTGAAGGGATCGCCCCTCTGCACTGCAGATTCCCTGGCTTGTCCCTCCGAAGCTAGTGAGCGGTGAGTGCGGAGGTACTTTAACACCGAATGTCCTCCTCATCAAGATTTCTCCTAATTTTAATTTTTAAGAACCTTATTAGTATATCCTAAGATAAAAATACTTTCTTTTGAGGCTTCAACTGGAAATCAGATTTAACTACTGCATTTTGAAATACTTTCTGGAACAAGATGGACACTAATTAACAAGCATAAAATCACTGTACGTTCAGAAGCTGGACTCGAAAAGCCATAATGTTGGTTTTTTCCCTGAATCTAAGCTGTGCTCCTGTATTTGTATCCAGTTATCTCATTAATTAGGAAAAGCATCATCACTGTTTTACGGCAGCACAAAGTCAGCTCTCCAGGCAACTTCTAATAGAAGGACATTGGGCATCAGAGATTCCAAACTTTTATCGAAAGTTTAAACATGGACCAAATTTTTACTAAGCAGGAGGATGAAAATTAGCTTATAATTGTAAACAGGGCCTGCTGACGAGAAGGGCAGCAGCTGCCCTGGGGGGGGGGGCGGCTGGCCCCGTCTGCCCCCCCCTCCGCCCCCCGTGCAGAGGGAGCGGGGCCGTGGGTGTGCGGACGTGGCTGTGCTCTGCTCCGTGCTCTGCTCCGTGCAGTGGTGCTGGCCACGGCGATTGTTCTGAGACCCCCAAATGTGGGGGTTCTTCTTGAGTGTCGAAAGTAATAAGATAACTACAAAAACATTACAGAGTTTTTGTGGCTTTGCCTCTGGAGGCCCCAGAAACCAAGTGTTACTGCTTCCGTTTGGAGGGAAAGGTAGTTTCTTCGTGGTCAGATGGGTTTCCCAGGTCGGGGCTTCCCTGATCTGGAATCGCAGGTGCACAGGCAGAGGTGCACTCGGAGACCTTTGGCAGCGGGTGGAGAGTACTTTGTAGTCAGCTTTACACGCAGTTCTCAGAGCAGTGACTCCTACGGAGCTTGTGAAACCTCCCTCTGCGCTCACCAAAGTGTGGCTGTCCCGTCCCCGCTGTGGAAGAGCTGCTCCTCGTCCTGTTGGCTTTCCCTGGGAAGACCCTGGGGAGGCCGTGTGTGTCAGTCATCATCGCTGTGTGACAAATGAGCCCCAGATTTAACAGTTAGAACAACAAGGATTTATTACCTCGCAGGGTCTCCCTGGGTCAGGAACCCAGGATGGCTGAGCCTGGGGCGTCAGGCCACCACGGTGTCCGCATGGTGCTATCGAGCTGTCGGCTGGGTCCGCAGGCACCTGAGGCCTGACCGGGAGGCACCCGCGGCCAGGCTCACTGTCAGGGTGGCTGGGCAGCCTCGGTGCCTTTCCACGTGGGCCTCGCCAGTGGCTGCCCGAATGTCCCTGTAACGTGGCAGCTGTCTTCTCCAGAGTGAGTGAGAGTGAGGGAGTGAGCTCCGGGGAGTGTGGAGAGAAAGAGAGACATAGGGGGGAAGAGATCGAGGCACGACCCAGACAGCAGGCTCTGCCACTACCTAGTCTCGGAAGTGAGGCATTGTCCCTTCTGCCATGTCCTCTGGTCACACCCACCAGCCTGGTCCCGAGTCGGGGGAGGGGTTTGAATCCCAGGGGCTGCCCGTCATCAGGACCCCCAGCCCCACTCCTGTTCCCGGTGGGGTTCCTGGGACATGTTGGACATGAGGTTGTCAAGTCATTAGAAAGGGAATCTGAGATTTGAAGGGCATGACCCTGCTCACTTTTTAATTCCAACCACGACTCCTTTTCTTGTAATTTTTACTTTTTTCCACCAACCGTCCTGTAGCAGATTATGGAATAGACGGGCCTCGGGCTGCAGCACTGACTTCCTCCTGGAAGACAGGGAATCTCACTTGGCTCAAACTCGAAGAGGAAGAGGCAGCGTTATTTAAGGGCTGGCAGGCTTGTCTCATCTCCTTTAAACCCGAGTCACCCGGGTCCTGCTCGTGTTCTAGGTGGACACAGATGTGAAGCGTGGTTGTCGCTGGAGCTGTTTTGAAGGGGCAAAGCTGCCAGGAGACCTGCGGGGCTCAGGGAGCTGAGTGTTCGGGGTGGGACGGTCCCCAGGGAGATGAGGTTCCCGGGGAGTCACCCGGGCGGACTGTGAGGTACAGGGACTTCCAGAGCGCAGTCGGCTCTCCCTGGTGTGACCCCTGGCTGGTGGGCAGCTGGGGGCGGGAACCCTGCTCTGGTGCCTTTGGTGTCCCAGCCTCCATCTCTGTCGCCCTCAGGCAGGTGCCGGCAGCGGCCCCGGCTGCAGAGTGTGTGTCATCGACGAGGTTGGGAAAATGGAGCTCTTCAGTCAGCCTTTCACCCACGCGGTTCGCCAGACGCTGTCTGCCCCAGGCACTGTGGTCCTCGGCACGATCCCCGTCCCTAAAGGGAAGCCGCTGGCCCTGGTGGAGGAAATCCGAGGCAGAGCGGACGTGCGGGTGTTCAGTGTGAGTACCGCCTGCCCTCGGGGCTGCGGAGCGGAGTGGGTACCGGGACAGCGGGGGGCTCTCGGGTACACCCTGGGCTTTGAATTGCCTTCTTTACTTCTCTTGTGATAGAATGTAGGTGGGTCTTTCTTTTCCAGGGATTTATAGAACTTAAATCATACCCGACCCCGTGTAGAAACATTCCGGCCTGTGGGGCAGCCCATCTCAGCTCTCCGCCCCCCACCCAGCACGGGGCCTGCGGGCGTCCCCACTGCCTGGCACGTCTCTTCTCGGGGTGGCCACGTTCGGGTGCAGAGGCAAGGGGTGCCGTTTCATTGGGAGGGTCTTCCTTTCGGACTGAGCCCTCTGGGGCCAAGAGGCTGGGGGCCGTGGGAAGAGTGGCCTAATGCCGTCGCGTGGAGCGTGGCCCCGTGGACGTGTCTGCGATGGTGGAAGCCGCTGTCTGCACTGTCTGGTACGGCAGCCAGTGGCCTTGTTGCCCTTGAGCCCCTCAGTGCAGCAGGCTGGCGGCATCTTAGTCACGCAGGAGCCACGTGGGCAGGACAGCCATGGAGTCCTGCTCAGCCCAGTGAGTCTGTGGCCCGGCGCCAGGCACCGCCTGCAGCGTGGGGGTTGTGCAGGGCTGTAGGGCTCGCCCCGACCTCGTGGACTGACCGCAGGGCACGGGCCCAGTAACCTGTTTCCCTGGTTCTCTGGCGCTTCGTAGGCCCCTGCAGGTGGAGGGAGGAGTGGCTTGCTCCAAGCACCGGGGGCAGTTCTTGGGCCAGTTTAGGGGACGCTGATGGGACTGCTGGCACTGGGCCTGAATCCTTGCTTCTTCTTTCCCGTCGTCTCCACGTCCGCCGTGGTCAGGCAGGGCCTTGCCCTGCTCCCCTGGTTTGTTTGCGTCAGTGCTCGCCAGGCCCCGAGCCGAGACCTGCCCACACCTGCTCTGCACCACCAGCCAGAAAGCTCAAGGGAGCAGGCGGTCTGACAGGAGGAGTGGGTCCTTGCTGCAGACGTCCTCGCCACCTCTTTCTGGCCCCAGCCCCCTCTCCCAAGTAGCCCCTCAGGAAAGACCACAGCCAGAATCAAGTGATTGCAGGAGTGGCCTCGAACCCTGCACGGGCCAGGCCTGTGTGGACAGCAGGTGCTGGGTGTGTCCCAGCACTCGAGAGTCGGTCAGCGGCCCGGGAGCGGAATGACAGCTCAGTGCACGTGTCCCACAGACGTTCCCTGTGTGACGTCCAGAACCCAGGGATCGCAGAGGGGCGGCGCAGAGTGTTAATGTAGTTTTTCCTTTCTGGTCACTAACTTTAAATGATAAGACATCCTCAAAATGGGTGTTTTCCAGTTTTAGCTTTTATTCTTTCAGTACCTAACCACGTGTCCTGTGTGGACTGGGTGTGGAAGGCTTCCTGGGTCCAGTGTGCGCCCCTGGTTCTCAGCCTCCCAGTTCTGCATGCTGAGGAACCCAGACGGGTGAGGACCCTGTGCATTTCCTCATCAGACGTTTATTTAGCACCTACTGTGTGCCGGGCCTTTTGCTAGACACTGGGGGAGGTCTACAGGCGACCAGGTGTAACCCCCGCTCAGGGTCCAGGTCTACTCCCACGGGACCCCGGTCCTTTGCATGCCCTCAGGGCCTCCTCTCTGTCTGGGGGCCCTTCTTCACTGTCCCCTGCAAGGACGAAGGTCGAGAGCGCCTGCGGGAGGAACCCTTTCCTGGCCGCCTCTGTCGCTCCAGCGTGTGCCCGTGGTCTCGTGGGGCTCACTGGTCGTTCATCCACTCGCTGCCCTCACTCTCCTTCGTGCCTGTCCCCGAGTTCTGGTCTGCAGGCTCCGTGAGATCGGGTCTTACCCGCGTCATTACTCCGTCCCAGCACCTTGGCCATTTTTGGCCGGCACGCTGTCAGGGTTGGCTGGGTGTCGGTTGAGGGGGCCAAACAGGAAGAGTTAGTGATGGGAGAGGCGGGGGCCCCGCCCTCACGTGGGGCGGCAGCCACTAGCCCGCCAGCCAGCTGCCTGGTGGGGTCAGTCTTTTGTGGTATTCCTTGGACTGTGGTTGGGAGAAATTAAAAATGGGTCAAGTGAAGCTGGAATGAACTCTGGTACTTGTGTTTTTGTGATGGCGTCACTCAGAGAGCAGGCACCTGGGGACTGGAGCCCGGAGTTTAGTCTGCACGCGGCCCTGCCGGCTCAGAGCTCAGGGAGCCCCTGGGTTCTCTGGGCCTCGGCGTCCTCTTCGTTCTGACATGGGGCTTGCTGATGTCAGGGGCTCCCGGCAGCACTCCGGTGTCCAGGTTCATGGACAGGGGAGTGGATGACTGACGATCGGGAGCATCTGGAATTCTGGGTGCAACGCAGCAGGTGTGCCAGCCACTCTCCATGGGCCCAGCTGGTCAGCCTGTTCTCCCGGCTTCACTGGGTCAGGTCAGGTCTGGTCAGTCTGGCTGCACGCCACCCTGTGTCCCCATTGTCCACTCCAGAGCGCCTCGCATGTGGCTTCACTTTTAGATCCTTTCGTGGTTAGAATGTATCCATTGTGAGCCCATGTTCACTTTGCGGAGGCGGGTGGGCATCTGACCGCTCCTGTCCTGTGTTCCGTGTGCCCCGAGAGCGGGGCTTCCTGCACAGTCTCGCCTCGGACCTGCCTCCTTCCCGGCCGTTGTGGCGCACCTCACCCCCCGCCCTCTGGGTTCTCCCAGAATATCACCCGGCGGGCGACTGGAGAGCGGAACTGGGTCTGACCGCCCGCACTTGTGCTTCGCACAGATCACCAAGGAGAACAGAGACCACCTCCTGCCGGACATCGTGATGTGTGTGCGGAGTGGCCGGCAGTGAAGGTGATCCGCGTCCCCACGTCCCCCGCATGTGAAGGAACGTGCTGGTGCCACAGCAGCCTGCTGGCGGGTCTCTGAAGCCGTGTGGCCTTCTGCAAGGAAGCCTGACAGCTGTTTTCCATGAAGTGTTTAAAAGATCGAATTAGCCGTAATGCTGGATTGACTCTGCAAGACTAATCATCCATTGTGGCTTATTTATGCCGAGAGTTTTCTGTTTATTTCCTCTTGCAGTTGTGCGTATGATTTGGGTAAATTACGAAACGAGAAATGGCTCTCAGCACCAGATGGGACTTGCCCCGTGGAAGTTTGTAAGTGTGTTGGGGGCGGGGGGAGCGCTCACGGCCTTGTCAGTTCTGCAGGCCGTGAACGGCGGGTCCCTCCCTGGGTGCCCTGCAGTCCTGTGCAGCGTGAAGAGATAACGGTTGTTTGATTTCTAAAAAGTATTTCAAAAGGAAACCATTTCAGGCTCCTCCATCACTTACTGTTTATTTGTCTGCTTATGACTTAATAAAATAAAGATGAATGTGATGGTTGGACATGTGTGTCCTTGTGCGGGAGGGATAAACAGCCGTAGGGACAGGGCGGCCTTTGGAACTCAGTACGGGCGGGCGGGCGTCAGATCAGAGCTCCGCTTTGGCCAAGTTCTCAACCCTTTCTGTGCCTCATTTCCTGTCCAGAAAATAGAATTGAAGGTCGGCACAGGAAGGCTGCGGCCCCCTGTGGAAGGGACGGTTGTCAGCCCTCTGTGTGGGCCCCGGAGAGCCAGTGCCAGGGCCGGGCTGGTGGAACGGTGCGGGGAGGGGAGGGGAAGCCCACAGCAGGGTGTGTAGAGACCACGACACCCCAGAATTCAGAGGATAAAGCTGCCTGTCAGTGGCTGATGTACCGGAGTGGTTCGCAGTTCTGTGTATTTAGGTCATTTCTGGTGAAGATCTATGAATTTCAGGGTTTTATTAGCGACTAGTGTCAGCTACAGGCCTGGCTGGCATGAGTGCTGGGCGCAGGCTCCTGTGAGTTGGGCGCTGTGGACGGTGCAGGGCACACTCCTGTCGCGGCCGAGGACACGCAGGGTCTGCAGCCTGGGGCGGCTCCTACAGCACCAGGGTCCCCTAGGCAGTGCTCTGCTGCCTGGTCTGGACTGCCCAGCCTTTGAGGGGCCACAGCCAAAAGGCCTGACGGACTGGGGAGAAACCCCTTCAAAGGGGTGCAGCGTTCAGTGTGAGGAAGCGGGTGTCTTCAACTCACCGTCCCTGCCCCGTTGGGTTGCTTAGGGAGGCCGAGCTCGTGAAGTACGACAGGCGGAGTGTGGGTTGAGCCGTGCGCATAGGACAGGGGAGAGGTGTGGGCAAGCTTCAGTGTGTGGGGCCGTCACCGAGACACCTGGGGGCCCCGCCCTGCAGCAAGTCCACCCCCATCCAACTCCCAGAGCCCGGAGGGAGCCCCACTCAGCCCCCCGGAGAGCCGAGGGGGAGGGCCGTCTCCATGTGCCTGGACACGGGGTGGCACGCAGGCCTGGCAGAGCAGGCCTGGCTCCGGGAAGAGGCTCTGGATGTGCAGGGTCTGCGGCGGGGGGGACAGTCTCCCTCTGGCACTTGTCTTGAGCTCAGTGTGTTTAGCCCCGGCTGTCTAGTGGCCTTTGAGTTTGTCTGAAACTAGAAGGAAAGCGATGGCCTTTATTCGAAGAAGGTAATCTAGCTTGTTTGAGGACACTTGGGACGGAAGCCTAATGTGCTTCTGGAGGGGAGGTGTCACACTCCCCTCCGGAGCAGCAGTGAGCGGGGACTCGGGAGGCCCTGGCATCTGCGTGGTGCAGGGAGCTGCAGCCACTTTCTCTGCTGGCAAAGAAGCCGCAGTGGGAGGTGCGGGCTTGAGTCTGAGTCTGTGTGGCTCCGGTGCCCCAGGATGCCCGTCTTGTTCAGTGTCCTTGCTCCAGGTCTCAGTGGGGACCCAGCAGTGGGAGTGACAACAGTCTAGAGCAGAAGAGCACTCAGTGCCCTCTGTGGCCGGGCCCGTCGGTAGCAACTGAATCACTTTGTCAACAGACTAACGGGAAGCATGTCAGAGGATGTCGGGTACAACCCACCCACTGTAACGTTTAGTAAAAGATCACGTGCTGGTCTGAATGGGTGTGCCCCCACCCGCCTTGCCCGGGGTCATACGCTGGAGTCTAACCTCCCGTGGACAGTGTTCGAAGGTGGGCCTTCGGGAGGTGGTGAGGATGAGTGGCCTTACGACAGAGACCACCCAGGGCGCACTCGCCCCTTCTACCACCGGAGGACAGTGAGCAGACGGATGTCGTGAACCTGGGACTGGCCTCACCAGACACAGATCTGCCTTCCCACCGTCCACAACTGTGGGAGAGGAATGTCTGTTTAAGCCACGAAGTCTGTGGTGTCAGCTATAAGGAGTCCCCAGAGAACTATCGGGGGCGCCCGGGGCACAGTGGGTAGCATTCAAGTGACTGAGGCTTGGAGGAGGAGAGGGTGACGGTGGGCGTTGGGAAGAGACCCCCAGGCAGAGCACCATTTGTGGTCCCTTCACTCCCTGAGCACCAGCCGGGAGCAGAGCGGGACAAGCAGAGTGCTGTGTCGGGTGGGCGCCCCACCTGGGGGGAGGCCCTCTCGGGAGGAAGGGTGCGGCGTGGGGCAGGTGGAGATGGGGGTTCTCTTTCATCCCTGAGCTTGAAATGCCCACTGTTCAAACCCAGGAACCTAACCAACCACTGGGTGTGGTCCAGCCTTCAAGGAGAAACTCACCTCACACAGTGCTGAGTGATGTGGTCGGGCGGGACAGAGCGGCCCTGATCTGGAGAACAGGTTCCCCAGTCCTTTCCCTCCGCCCTGGGTGGAATCGCCAGCCACTTAACACACAGTCTTATAAAAACTGTTTCTCTGTGCCTCTGCGCAAGAGGAAGCACCTGCACGGAGAGACGTGCCTTTTAAATTCATAGAATATAATCTCTGAGCATCCTGGCTGACTGACAGGAAGGAACCCTCAGTGGCCAATTTGGGCGCCCCCTGCCTCCCAGCCTTCAATGCAGGCAGGGTGGGGGCGGGGGCGATGGCAGCCCAGGAAACTCGGAACGGGCCTGGCCCCTTCTTTCTCTTCCTGTTCATCTCCGTGTTCCTAGGTTGTGTCTGGGAAGATGTCATGTGTACTGATGGCAGATGCTTGTGCCTGGAAGTGCAGTGATTTGGGACCAAACGGGGCCACCACGCATTTCATGGGCAGCGAGAAGTTGGAGCATCGAGTCGTTTTAGAGACGCACTTGCCAGACACCGACGGTCTCGACACACCGTGCAAAACCTAGAGCCGCTGATGCCAGAGTCACATGGCTTACCTCGCGTCAAGCACCCCGCTCTTCCTTAACTTTAGAGAATTTTGTTCTATGTCCAAACGGAGAAAATAACTCTTCAGCATGTGCTGGCAGGCATCCGAAAAGCTTCTACGGAAATGTCGCCCTAAAATCTCACATGGGCGCTACTCATGCAGACGGTACTTTGCAAGGACTGCTCTCTGAAAAACTGAAGACTGGTGGAAGACCAGATTACCACGTTTGTGGGTTGTAAATGTAAAAGTTGTGTGCGATTTTAAAAAGTGCCTGCATTGCTGACAGTGAGGAAGAGCGGTGGAGCGAGTCCCACAGCGATGATGTCCCTTTGGGGCACCTGCGCCCTGGAGGGAAGCGTGTGCACACAGAAGCAGGCTCACGGCATGGGCAAGCCGAGTGTCCTCTTTCACAGACGCTGCTGACAAGGTGGACCCCCTCCTGCCCCGGCCTGCCTGACAGCGGTGCCGACTCAGCTGAGCCGTGAGCTCAGCAGGTGGGGATACGGGCACCACCCCCTTCTTGTCTGCACTGTCTTGGTCACATCTCTGCTGGCTGGCTGCCCCACTCTTTCAGGTTTCACTTGCTACTTCTCGCCTCTGGATGCCTGAGGAGTGGTCTGTCATCTAAGTGGGAGGCCACGCCGAGGGAGGCCACACACAGCTCGGGGCTGCCCTTTGGTCCTAGGGCTCCGTGGGGAGTGGCCCAAGGCCACGTCAGGAGCTGCAGCTGAGCGTGGGTTAGCCGCCTCGGGACTGCTCGAGGCGGGGTCACTCCCACTGGGCGGACACCTGCACGTGAATCGGAAGTAAGGGAGTTTGTGTTTCTGGGGACTCTGACCGAGAGCAACGCACCGTGTCTCTGGCTGTGGAGCCCAACTACTGTTGTTAGTTGCTAATTCTTTTCTACAAAACAAAACAAACAGAAAAATACAAGAGCACTGCCATCTACTTCCAAAGGGTAAGCAGTTCTCTGTTCATATTACCCTCCCCTGTCCCCAGACTTCCAAATCCTAGAGGCCTAGAAGAAATCTGTGCGAATGTTCCCAAATTGTTTCTAACTACTGTCTCTTCAAAAGGGACGGCTCACTGGGTCAGCAGTGATGTTCTGCAGGAACTGTGCCCTGGAGCCCCTTCCCTACCTCCTGTCAGCAAGGGGGGGGCAGCTTGCAGCTCCACCCACTGAAAAATTAAGATGGGAAAAGTCTCAGAATTTGCCCAAATGTCATCTCACAGGAAAGACTCATTTTCTGGATTTGATGGTAGTTTCAGCAGAACTCAAAGAACTGGACACAGCAGTAACTATAAACCTTTTAATTCCCAAAACAAAGGAGGGTGCAGGTGCCCCGTGGCCCAGGGGAACGGCTGGGCCTGGGAGTGAGGGTGTGCCCTGTGTGGGGGAAGCTGCTCCGACGGGTGGGGCACCGTGTCCTTCCAAGACGCCACAGGGCCCTGCCTGGGCTGGGTGTTGCAGGGCTCTGTCACGGGGTGCTGCAGGCGTGATTGCGTGCACGGTCACCGGTTTAAACTCACCTGACACCGGCATGAGTACTACGAAGCGGCAAGGTTGGCTGGATGCGTGGACGTAGCCTTGGCGCACTGGGCCACGGGTGGCACCATCCGTGTGGCTGCTCAGGGCTTTTTCATGGTGACAGGGATGTGTCAGAGGCCAGTCCTTTAACATGCAGTTGTCTCACTTCCACCGGGGTGCAGAGTGACCTGTGTGCTCTGTCCAGCTGTTGCAGACGTTACACGGTTTTTGTGGGGGTCAAATGCTCGGAAGTGTCTCTTGCCGCCCTGTTCCCTGCTCTGGGGCGGCGGGCGAGGAGGCCTGCATGCAGGTGTGTTTTTTCCCATCACGTGAGACGTTTTTCAAGAACCTGAGATAAAGTTATTCAGTTTTCTACAGCAGCCCTCGGATGTCCACAGGAGGGCCCCGAGTGGATGACAGTATTTGCTCTTTTGGGTCTGGGGGGAACAGGAAGGAGGAAAGGAAGGGGCAGCGGTGGGGGCCCAGTTCCCCGACCGAGGAGCGCCTCCCAGCCCTACTGCTCGTCCGAGGCGCTCTGCTGGGAAGCCGTGTCGTCCAGGCCCACGTCCTCCTGGCTGGCTCGCCTGCAGACCACGCCGAGGCCCTCAGCCACAGCCGCAGCCAGGCGGTGGCCGCGAAGCTGCCCCTGTTCGGCTTCGGTGGGTTCGCT